CTCTCTCTCTCTCTCGCGGGTCTGGGGGAGTTTCAGCCCCCACCCCTCCTCCTCTCTCTCTCTCTCTCTCTCTCTCTCTCTCTCTCTCTCTCTCCGTCTCTCTCTGTCTCACTCCGTCTCTCTCTCTCTCCCTCCCTCCGCAGCGAAATTCAGGATCTAGTCCTCCCGATTCAGCAGCCGCGTTCTGCTTTGAAACGTTTCGTTTAGCAATGAGCTATCATGCTAAAGCGAGAGTTRACTCCTCCCACACTAAGAAAACAGGAGGGGAGGGGTCAGCTGAGCTCCTCTGTAGCGGAGCACAGAGTGGAAAGAGACGAAGTAAATAAACAAGCAGGAAAATGAAACTTATCGGCGTCTTTTTTTTTTACCGACCTCAAAAAAAGTTATCGTGCAATTAATTGATTTATTGACTATCGCGACAGGCCTAGGGTCACAGCATCCAACATGCATTCAGTTTATGTGACAAACTTGGACAAACCTTCACAGTCTGTAATAAATGCAGTGTGCTACCCTAACAACACAACAAGCATGTGTAGTGATATTGCATGGGGGGAAAAATGAGGACACTGCCCGGGAAATGTACAGGTTGCAGGTGTAACAGAGATCACTCAGGGTGCGAGGTTACGCAGTGTGGTTTTCTTTTATCAACCTGAAATTTCCCGAGGTTGGGGCCTCATCTGATGGGCTTGTGCTATGTGTCTGTTGTGGCAAAGGCTGTGTTGAGATAAAGTGCTCATATAAATCCCGGGACCTAACTGTGGCTGAAGCTTGCACAAACTCTGACTTCTGTTTGGAGTTATATGAAGGAGAGATGCGTCTGAAGCCTCAACACACCTACTACAAACAGGTGCAAACTCAGATTTTTGTCACTGAGGCTGAATATTGTGACTTTGTGGTCTGGACAACAAAAGACTTTGCTGTTGTGCATGTTGCTCCGGACCCTGGGCAGCTGTCCTTGAGAAGGCAAAAAAATAAAAATTGTTGAATGTGTGAGTCTCCTTGAACTTGTAAGCTGTTATTTCACCAAGGTGTTTAACAGGCCGACACTTGTTAACATTCCTGTTCTTCATAAATAAATGGAACAATTGCTTAACAACCCCCCACTCCATCTCCCAACAGAATCTGATTTAGTTTTCACAGCATTTATTTTTAATTAGAATAGAATAGAACAGAAATAGCCTTTATTGTTCTGCAGAGGTATTCAGGTGTCACAGCAGCATCAGTACAGAGGTTCACACACTACAAACTATAGACAGTACACAAAAACGAAATTAACACTGACTAGCAATGACACAACTACTACTAACAAAAATATAATATAAAGAATTGTGCAAGAATAAAAGAAAAAATATATGTTTAGTTTTATAGACAGTGGACTATCAGAACCAGACATTAGTAATCAGAAATTGCCTGTTTTCAGTGCAAAATAATCTCAACAGACCAAAAACTGTAAAATATCACAGTGCAGACAAGAAACACAGAGGTGCAATTACAGCATAATTATTTTTAAAGTTTAAAATGGGTAATAACAGAGCAGGTGATTGCTCAGATTAGTAATAATATAAATGTGTAGTAGTGCAAATGATTGTTCAGATGAGTAATGACAATGAATAGCAGCAGTACAAATGATTGTGCAGCAGCAGGTGTGCAAACACTTATTGGGATTTTTTGTAAACACTTACTGTGATTTTTGGGCGTGGTGCTGGTTATGCTGTCTATAATTATGTGTTTGTACCAATTTGTGCTTTAGAAATTTAGCAGGATGGACACAATTTATTCTGACATTTACAGAAAATAAGATAATACGTAGTAGGTGAGACCCATAGACTCTAAAAACACAACATATCAGTGTCTGTAAGCCAAATACTGACAGTTTAATTTAGAACAACAGGCTTTTGGTTAAATGTTATAAGTCACCAGTCAAAACTAAGGCTGTTCAGTCATATCTACAACAGGTAAGATATTGTTTGTTCAGACCCTTTAGATTGAGCGTCTTTTTAAAATAGCCGAAATGTCTCTTTAGTGAACACCTGATATCATGTTTTGACTGTATTTTATACCGTTGACGCCAGGCGGCGTTGCAGAGCCGGACATTTCTGACCCTTTTGGCTTTCCTTACATTAAACTTTATTCAGATTGATTTGGTTCATCATCATCATCTTCATCTTCATCATCATCATCAGTCTCATCACATCGTTCAAACGCTACAAGTTGACTTTCCGGTTTACTTCGGTCTTTCTGTGACTGACCAGTCACGGCTCCGGGTCGGGTGAGTCTGGGAACCAGGATCCGTTTGTAAGTATCATTCATTTTAAGACCACTGCTAGTTTTAAACGACATTATTACTCATTAAACACGTTTGGTCAGGGATGCGCGCGCATTGTGTAAAAAACCGACTTTACCCCGGCTAATGTTAGCTTGTGGTATTATATTTGGTATGATTGTAGTTAGTCTCCAAACATTGTCAGGTAGTAAGAAATTCTACCTAATCGTTACGTAGGCTGATTAGTCGGTTCACTGTAAAATACCACAGGAAGTCGATGTTTTTTTTCATCTAGCTTCTAACTGTCGCAGAGACCGGAGTGGTCGTGACTCCGAACTCCGTTGAGAAATGTATATATTTAAGGCTGTTTCGTCTGGACTCTAATACAACGCAGATATTCGGCGTGACTACTGATTAAAAAAGAAGTACTCAAATATTTTTAACATTCGGTACCATTTCAGTGAGACTTGTAGTATGTAAAGTAGTTTTATCTGAGAGAAAGTAAAAGAAAATCGTTTGCTGCCTCAGCTCAGTTAAGAATTCATCTTGAAACACTGCAGTAATTTGAGTTTTTCCCTTTTGAAAACTCATTCAAATAACACCACAAGTAATGCAAATATTTCCTAAACCATAATTTCTTTATTCTACGAAAATAAATAAATAAATAAATCCTTAATGTAGCAGAGAGAATTGTTTCACCGTCGCGACTCCAGGTGGCGCTGTTATATCTAAACATGCTCCACACAGAAGAGTTTGCTACGCAGTCATCATGCTGAGGCACAGCCAGCACGTTGTTGATTGTGGATCAACATGATGAACCATATGTATCCGTGTGCAGAACCCAGGAAAAACAAGACTGACCCATCAGGAACTGAATGTTTTGCTAAAAAGTCAAATTACAAAATGCCCAGACAAAAGCACAAAGAATACAATTTCACACTGAAATTTCTTCAATACTTGCTGTATTCATTCAGGTCACCAGTTCTGCATTAAATGTTGTTAGCTGCAGGCACACTCACATAAATTATGCTGCTCCAAATCTAATGAACACAATCAGTAAACTGTGGTGCCCATTTGTTGACATTGTAAACAAATGGTAAATAGCACCTTATCCAACCATGATACTCAAAGCACTTTACACTACAATCTGTGTCCTCATTTAACCACACACACAGCTCACTACAAAGCTAATACAGGTAAATCTTTCTATAGAGACTAATCATAGGAAAAATGTAAAAATTGATTATATATAGCCTACATTATTTTGTGTTTAACTGTTCAAATGTGCACATGTAATATTATTTGGTGTATGTTATTATAAACAGTTCATTTTTTAAATAATAGGCTATTTAATGAAATGGCAATACACATGATAAGTGTGTGTCGGGAAACGTTATTTTTGTTTACTGTGTTCCTGAACGCAACATAAATCCTACTTCTTCTTCGGCTGCTGCTGCAAAGGCACGATGTGAGAGAGGAGCCTGTTTTGAGTGTTGAGCTTCAAAAATAGAAAAAAATAAAGCTTTTTGGTCAGATACAACTCCAGTCGTCACCTGTGTTTTATAGCTGCTACAAACAACATTAAGAATTACTTCATGCCTAACTGCAAGGGACCCACGTTTGTCAGACTTGTCCATGTAAACAATCAACAGTCTCTGCATGGAAATTACTGCAATAATTTAAAAAATGATCTTGTCACCATGCCATAACAATGCGTGGCCACGGGATTGTTTTTTAATCCAATGTCACCAGAAGGGCACCATAGTAAACCGTTGTCAGAGTTGTAAAAGTAGGATCTATACGCAGAATGATACGGTACTAACCATTGTTTGTCACAGCTCTAACTTAACAGCTGCAGATATGCTACAATATATACATTTAATGAATAATTAACTATTTGTTAACCTCACAATGTATTTTATTAATATATTTTATTCCAACACAGTGTCATGTATTTTAGGTATAACATAGACCTATAATATAATGCACTCCTAGAATAGATAACACATAAATTCTGTGAATTAACACAGCTTAGCATATGTCAAAAAGTATTTTTTATTAATAAATTTAATTATTGTGAAATACATCTAAAAGACCACAACATATTAAGACATAATATTGAAAATGTGATAACAGTATGGTTATCCTGCAGACATAAACACAGATGTACCAGGCTTGTTAAATATGAGGGACCTCTTGGCTTCTAATGGCAATAGGAGGGTGTTGTTTGGTATAAAAACAAATAAGTAATTAAAGTAAATATCTAATCTCATGTAACACATAATTATTAAGTCTAGAATATTATGCTTAATTAATTGTCGTTATTCTGTATCCCTTTACTAAATGAGTCTAATCCAGCTGAATGAAAACAGCATCAGAGACCCCAGGGCTTATCGATACACATTTACCCATTTATGAAACATTTCACTGTAACTGGTATTTACTATTACATTTTTACCAGACACATGCCAAAAATTACATTTAAAATGTTTACTACCAGAGTCCCCCACCAAAGAAGTGTCTGTAACTATAACCAATAAATGATTTAAACTCGCAGACAGTGTAACTGGAACTGTGCCAATCAATGTGCAAAATATAAAACCTAAAAACATGGATCAGGCCAAACCTAGACATCAGTACTTTAAAGGTAAATTTTTACTGGAACAAAGCTGTAATCTACAGTATGAAGGTAGCTGTCGTACGTCCACAATCAACACATAGTAATGGTGGTGCTCTTTACACAGAAGCTCACAAAAGTGATGATAGCAGATGTCCAATCCAGTAAAAATGTATGTAACAATGACAGTAATTAATGTTACATAATTTTACTTAACAAAAGAAAAAAGACTTGTGAGAAAACCATTTTTTATTTTTTATTTATTTAACTTTTTTATGAAATCAGTCTGACAAACGTACTTTTCAGTCTGTATTATGAAGTATAAAATGCAGAATGATGTATTATCAGTTTGAGTTGCATTTTCACTTTAGGAAGCAGGGTAGTTTTCTTTGGAATGCCTTTATGTCTGCTGCATTTACAGATAAACACAGATCATCAAGGTTTATCCCAAGAACAACCCTGCTAGGAAGGTAGCATGTTTGATATTAGCTGGAACCGTTCTGGTTGTGGGGTAGACCTTCACATTTCAGAATGATTGAAACCCAGCACTGTCGTAGATGATAGAATGGAGGCAGCTACATCTGTGTGTAGCTGCTGTCTACCAGATGCAACACTTCAGCAGCACTAATCTACCCTGTAGTTTACAGTGTAGAAACAACAAGGCTGAAATTACCTGAGTGAATAATTACCAGGGTGAATAGTGGAATGATCCCATAGTAGTTGTATTTTTAACAATAGTTATCCTGGACTCTGAGCACAATTAGTGTTGACTTAAAACTGGAGCACGGTTAAGTTGGATGTCATCATTCCCAGATCTGAGTTCTGAGATAAATGACAAGTAAAATTATAACTCCTTTAATCATGTAGATGCTATTTTGTAAACCTATTGCATTGTTTTTTTTTTAAATTTACATTAAATTTTATTTGCAAGAGGAAAAAAACAGCAGATGCTTCAGCACCTCTGGTGCAGCCAGGGGCACTTCTCCTGCAGGAATATGTGTGTAAGATAAAACTGAGTGGTGTAGTAGTTCTTTGTAAAGGGTTTGTGGAATATGATTAGGCCTCTTGCTTTATTCTCTGTGCTGCGTGAGGTCAGAGCTACAAACCAACAGGAAGTCTGACCTGAGCGAGGGTTAAGTAGGTCTGAAAATCATCACAGCCTGCTGGAGACTTGTTCTGTCTACATGTAGGTGGAGCATTCTCCTGCTGCACGGCACATCATGGATGTAGTGGAGGCAAGTAACCAGAGCGGCCTGACCTCTGGGAAAATAGTGGCTCTTGCCGCGGGGCTCTCAGTCGGGGCCACAGTCGGGTACATGGTGTATCGCCACATAAGCAACACCAGCAACAGTAAGTTTCTGACTTCCAGCTGTTTTTGTTAGATAGATAGATACCTCTATTTAACCAGATAAAACCCTCATTGAGATATACAATCTCGTTTTCAAGAGGGACCTGGCAAGATAGCAGCACCGTTATAAATATTAACATTCAAGCAAAACCAAACAAAAACATTTTATCTATAATGATGACAATTAAAACTATCTCCTTCATTAGCTACGTTTACATGGACATAAGTAATCGGATTAAACGGCCGTTCGGAATAAAAATGTGTCATGTAAACAGCCCATTCGGATTATTCTGATCCAATTGAGCTCGATCCGAATGAATTTTTAATCCGATTGAAAAGGGTGGGTTACGCCAATTAATAATCGGAATGATGTGCATGTAAACACGTAATCGGATCATCTTATTCTGATTGTAGAAAACTGACCTGAGTGCGCATGTCTTCTGACTTTCATCCACCCGGTTCTGCTCTTTAGAGGAGGCAGGGCAGCAGCACTTCAGCTGCACTGCACCGTGCAGAACTTTTCCTCCACGCTCTCTTAACAGATAAAAAAGGAGACAAAAAGCAGACGTTGCTTCGCAAAAAAAAACAACAACAACAAAAAAAGAAAAACTTATTGCTTCATCTGCAGCGCAACCAAGGAGTAACGACATCTCTACCATTATTAAAAGCTGACAGGTCCGTCCTGAGTGCACAGAGGAGCTTTGTTTACGTTTGTATCTCGGAAGTAAAGCTGAAAGTTTACAACACTGTGCATGTCTGGACTTTTATTCTGAGTAAAAGTCCGATGCATGTAAACACTTGTCATGATCGGATTGTGTCCATGTAAACAGTACATTCGGATTATTTAATCCGAATACATTTCAGTCCGATCAAAATAATTTTGTGCATGTAAACATAGCTATTGTTAACAATTAAACGTGTTCAATTGCTGTTTGCCATTTTGTGTTTTACTCTTGGATGATCTGTGGTTTATTATTACTAACAGGTCAGGGTTCAGACGTGGAAGAATCCAAAATGACTCTTCCTCTGGAAATCTACAGGAACATAACCAAATGCCAAGCCACGTTTCTGGAAATGGTGAGCAGCTCACACCTTTATTTATTTTTAGGCAGGGATTCTACGTAAAAACAGTGTTACTTAGTAGACAATGTACAGTATTTTGCTAACAGACAGAGTTGACTCCAATATTGAATGTCAAACTGTTCTTATATGATCAGTTTGTGCTCGGAGTATAAGTTGGGGATGACACAGAGCTACTACCACACAAATGTTTGGTCAGTATCTATAAAATATATCAGTCTTTTTTTGTTTGCTAGAAATAGCTTTTCTCTGGAACTCATCTTGACTTGGGGTGACTAAGATCCGTAGATGTGCATCCAATGTTTAATTTTTAAAAGAATCATTAAACACATTAACAGAACATGACTAAAACATTGTTGCCCTCTTGTTTTTGTCGTTGGGTCATAATGACAGAAGAACAATGTTGAAAATGCTGATAAATTATCTTGGTTTTCAGGTGAGCCAGAAGTCCGGAGCTCACGTGAGGGTTCTGTCAGAGCTGGGGGAGCCTGGATGTAAAGCAGCTGTTTGCTTCCAGCTTCAGGGCTCCAAGGAACAGATCCTGCTGGCCCGTTGTGTCCTGGAGAACCTGGTCATTGACTGTGAGCCTGCGTCGGAGGTGTTGGAGGTACCTCAGACCTCCTTTGGACGCATCATAGGTAGAATATGTTTGACTATGTTTCCTGTCTTTTTATTGTTTTTCCAGTTAGGATGTAGAGGGATTTGTTTTTGTAGTAGGTCTGTATTTCCAGTGTAACATTCAGCTGCTGGAAGTTTTGCTCTGATTTTCTCAGATTTAGTTCATTCATTCATTCGTTCATTCATTCATTCATTCATTCATTCCCTTTATTTAACCAGATTTAAAACCCTGTTGAGGTTGAGATCTCATTATTAACAGGGACTTGGGCACAAACGAACAGTACACATTAGGGCTGAACGATTAATCATATTTGCGATAATCTCGCGATATGTTAAAACGAGATTTTCTCACCGCACAGGCTGCGATTTGACTGGTCATGTGACTTGGGAGTGAGCCGAGCAGAGCAGTGTTGCGCAA